TTTGTTTGTGATATTTTCTAACCTATAAAATTCATATAATTAACTAACTAACTAATTTTAACTGTCAGAGTTATGAAACTTTGCACGCATTAGCACACACGCATACGCACGCACACGTACACACACACAGATGCATTGTAATTTTATATTGAATGTCACTTTTGTCCTGGTATTTATAATGTCCATATACTAATTACAAAGTTTTATTGTCAATCACAGCAAAAAAGTGAGAATGACAAGTCAAAATTAGTTTAATCGTCAAAAATGTTTTGTCCAAAAGGATTTTGAGTCTAAATATAAAGACAGTCCATTTATTAACTAGAGCTGCCACAGGAGTGACGAATACCCCCACATGATCTCTTTGACACAGCCTATTTGGTGATTTTCTTAAATGAAAACATTTACTTCAAAGGTGACTTTAATTTTGCACAGAAATGGCATGGGATCTGCACATTTCCTTATTAATGTAAACATTAAAATGAATTTTAAAAATTCTTCAGAATAAAAGGATTTCTACAGTAATTGTCTGATAATAGAACTTTTGCGTTTACGTTAAGCCTGCAAAGCCGTGGCATAGGGTTCTACTCATTGCAATGCATGGATATGATCCAAATTTTATGGAAACACATGAAGGGGTAAGAGACTTTCAGAGCAAAAACAAAATTGAATGATATTTGACCTTTGACCTGTAAGGGTGACATTGACCAAAAGTCAGCACAAAGTGGTATGAGTTTTGTATAGCACCTTATCAATTTGAGCATTTATGTCAAGGGTTGAAGACAATTTTCGAATTGTAAAAGAAGTACTGAAGAGCATAAAACTTGTTTGATCTCAAATTGTAAACTTGACTTTGAACCAGCAGAGTGGTGATATATGTCCTCTCTGATGGGCCGTCGACATGGGGCCCCCAACTAAAAAATTTGTAATTTGGTCAATAAAATTTTCCAGTTCCCCGATCACTCCTTTATTTTTTTGGAACGATCCCGCAAAAAGGGTGGGGGGATGGGTTTTTAATTAAACATTTTTGCAATTTAACCCGTGGATCATTAAATTTCTGGGTTTCAACTTCAAAGACACATAATTTTTGGCTGTATCTTTCTAAACCGCAAATTTTTTATCGGAAACCCAGACAAAATTTTTCCTCTGGGCCGCGCCCTTAGTTTTTTCTTTTTCCCTGTCATCTTGGTTTGCCCATCTGCAAAGAAAGTTATCATTGGTTAACGAAAGTACATTTTTCTTTTTAACCAAAAATTTTTTTTAACCCCCTCCCAATAGGTTTTGGGAAAAAAATTTCACGAAAAAATATCTTCATTATTCGATTCTACTGTTCGACTATGAAAAATAAGTTTCTTTATGATTCTTTTTAAGTGACGATAACTAACTTTTATTCCATGAATCAACAGAAGACTAGCTAATATCTCTTTGTTTTTATATCCCGCCGAGAAATAATGAACTATCAAATCCTTCATCGTTTCTTTATTTACAATACGTTCTCCTATTGCCAATGCAGTCAACGCCATAGAAATAATGACGAAAGATAACACCAGCATCTGCAATTAGAAAAAAAGAATACAATTACCTACTATATTATATCTTGTACATGCAAATGCAATTCTGAAAAACAGATGCGCAGATTGAACCCAGATGTATATTTTAAAGAGTATTTTAAAATAAAAACTTTTGGTTTAGACCCCTGTGTCCAATTCAGGATATAGCAAGATTTCTGTGTTCTTGATCCCCATATATTTTCTTTTTTAACCAACTTATATTAGTAATTTTCCTACTAATACTTTTAACCGATTTATAATGAAAATAATGATATATTTAAAACTTATATAAGTAAAAGATCACTAACCAGTTCTCAAACAACTTCTAAGCTATCCAATATGGCAACAAATGACGTCACAATCACGTGGCATATACCTTGAAGTTAAAATCGTGAATTCATGAAGCTGAAATCGTGAATTCGTGAAGTTGAAATCGTGAATTCACGAAGTTGAAATCGTGAATTCATGAAGTTGAAATCGTGAATTCGTGAAGTTGAAATCGTGAATTCATGAAGTTGAAATCGTGAATTCACGAAGATGAATTCGTGAAGTTGAAATCGTGAATTCATGAAGTTGAAATCGTGAATTCGTGAAGTTGAAATCGTGAATTCGTGAAGTTGAAATCGTGAATTTGTGAAGTTGAAATCGTAAATTCGTGAAATGGAAATCGTGAATTCGTGAAGTTGAGATCGTGAATTCGTGAAGCTGAAATCGTGAATTGATGAATTCTGTATGTTGAAAATGTGAATTCACGAAGTTAAATATGTGAATTCATGAAGATGAAATCGGGATTCGTGAAGTCGAAATGGCACTACCGGTCTTTCGTAAAAAACCCATAACTAGCGTCAGCGACCAATTCTCGAAATCAATTTATGTTAGAAGAAAAACATTACTTCCCACAACGTTTAAACGCTTACAAGAAAAATGGCAAGTCAGCATTTTTATCATAATTATGATAAGCTATACATCCAAAACAACATGTATACTGTAGACACTGTTTTATCATGCCTGGGACACTTAACCTTTTTTAATATGTAATGTGTGGGGTATCTCATCAAAGTTAAATTACTCTGATTTTTGAATTATATATCAGATTATGATATATATATTTTTTCTTAGACATAGAAGCCGCTTTATATAATGGAAGTATTGATGGAGTTATTTTTATGATTAAAGTTATAACAAAAATATTTAATTCCTGTAAGTATTGACCAAAGAAGTAAAATATTGTTTAAACTTCATAAACAGTTTCTATTGTCTAATTATGATCCATATATTTGTCTTTGCTTAAATATCCCCCTGAGGATTATGCTTTATAAAGAATGCTACAAGTTATTGTTTGAATTTGATTTTTATTAACATTTAAACAGAAATTCGTAGATATTGAGATATGGGTGAATATATATGTTGAAAGTGATTTAAATAGCCGTACCGGAACCAATAATAATTTTATTACTGACCTAAACTTATTAGATCGATATGTTGATTTACCTGAGTATGCATATTTTGAGTCCGATTTGCCAAACCGTAAAAAAATTGATAATGGTTTCAATAATTTTGGATCTAAGTTACTCAGTATGTGTAAAGAACAAAACCTTTGCATAAATCATGGTAGGAAAGAGAAAGGAATGTGTTTTTAGAAGAAAAAAAAACAGTACTATGTGATAACAAGTCCAGAATGTTCTAAGAATGAGAATAATATGTGCGTTTTAGATAAAAATGAATATTTTGATCATTGTCCTATAACCTTTTGTCAATTGTCTGTATTTAAATCAGATGTATTGTCTTTGCCATTATGATTTATATAATGGTCAAAGGCAATGGTTTTTGCTGTTTTGTGTTTACTTTGTATGATACATTATGTCAGCAATTTATTAAAAATAAATAACTGTTTTAATCAAGGTCTTGATATTACCTTATTATTTATAAGTACCTCGCGTATAAGGAAATATGCACAGCTATGACAGGCAAAGCATTTAAATCACAGTCTAAATGTTTTAAATATGAACATCAGTTGTCAACTATAAAATAAAGAAATTGCTATCGTATTTTATTTGTGACTTTCGACTTATCTATTATGAACTGTATATCATTACTTTTATCCTCTAAATTTCTGGTCCCAAGAGAACTCTGGGATACGATCACAATTCTCTTCTTGCATCTATTCAGTGTCAATTTATTAAATTAATTAGTTGTTAAGTTTGTTAGTCACTATAATGACAATTTTGGTGCGTGAGAAGCAAGTTTCGAAATCAATATGGGCGGCTTGCAACCGGACGATTTTAATCAGTCTTGTGTTTTTAGCAAATAGTGATCAGGAAAACATCTAACTCAACAAAACAGTTAGTCCGAAATACTTCTTACTATTTTATGGCAGTGCTGGATGGATTAAGTTGGAGTGGAACTTGTCATCTGTGCTACTTTACCATTCTCTGTTCTGTGCTTACTTAATTCATCGTTTTCGATGAGAAATCACCTCAACTCTATAAAAAATTTCCAAATGCATGCAGGACCGATACGGTTGACGATCATATTCATTTTTAATGCGAAACCAGTACTTGTTAGTTAAATGAAAAGAACTCGAAAGTGATAAATAAAACTTGTAAATAACAAAAAAATAGAATCTCTAAAGAACGTTCAAAATATCAAAATTGAAAATGGTGTAGGCTCGGTTTGATTGAGGCTTACATGGTTCTCAATGGAGCTTTAACACATTCATCTATTTCTAAACTTGAGCAAAAATCGAATAGAATCCAATCAAACTACCGAGGCCGGCGTGCACACCAGTCAAGCTGTACTAACATTATGTCTATTTTTTCACTTCTTGAATTTACAAAAGGAGATATGAAATGGAAATTCAGAAACATAACAAAAAGAAAAACATAGCTGAATACATTCTAGAGTAATGTGGTATGTGATATACAGTGTCAACTATATATCTGTAGAACGAACATTTATTTGATTCCTGTCCATCACTGATTCACGGTGCATATCCATATCGGTACCCTCTTTGCGAAATCTGCTGAAACGGCACCCTCTTTGCACATGCTAATGACAAATCAGCACATAGATAAAACATTCTAGTGTTCCGTGGTATACATCTTTCCCACGTGTCATACCTCCTTTCCATATTACAATGATTTTTACTGGCGTGTTATCCATCGCTGGTTTGTTTTGAGCAGAGAATGACCTGTGCATGTACAAAGAGGGTACCGTTTCAGCAGATTTCGCAAAGAGGGTACCGATATGGATATGCACCGTGTGATTTGTTTCCAGCTAGGAATGTCCTGTGCATGTGCAAGAAAGGTATCATTTCAGTAGATTTTGCAAAAAGGGTACCAATATAGATATGCACCGTTTACACATCTTTGAAATCAGTCTAGCAGGTCTGCGATTAAAGTAACGAATTCATATTTTGTGACAGTGTAACAACATTTCAAATAAAATATTTATAACACATTCAGGTTTGATCACCATTTTGATCTTAAATAAGCTTACAAAGTCAACACCGATGCATCCCACTGGGACAGCCATGTGTTTGAGACAATACTATGAAAATCCGCAGAAAAATAGAAAATCCGTCGTATATTAATTAAATTGGCATCACGCACGATTTTCTCGGTGTTGGTGTTTGGAAATTACAGGATAGTTATTATGCTTATTTTTAATTAGATTTATTGATAGAAAAATGTTTTATTGGTGAGTGTACAAACATCCAAACAATCAGTAATTTAAAAATTCAGTCAGGACAGCGTGTATGGAATTCAAGAGAAAATGATTGTTTGGATTTATACACTGGCAGCAACAGTGATATTCTGTGCCTTAAAAAGTAGGTATCTTATGTATTAATTTTGCTGATTTTAATGCTAACGAGAGATCACTTTTTCCAGATTAATAATATCTGTCATATTTTGCGGTTCGGATCGGAATATCCGTACCGAGGTGACCCGCCCATTGGGCGGTAACGAGGCTTGCCGCAAACATATGTCAGATATTTTTTCTTGCATATTCTACCATATTCCATTATATTTTCATTCTTTATCTTTAATTTCAATGGAAATTTATATCATTACAACCCTAACTACTTTCTTACAACAGTGTATGAATTACAACTTCATTCATAACGGTAAAATGACGTCATACTAAGCGTGCCATTGTACAGCACGCCACTCATCTGGCACCCCCATGCCAGATGAAATTTCCGGCATGGGTAAAACTCACGGAAACGTCAGTCTGGTATGCAAGAAATTAAATATCTAAAGCAAATAACTCAAAGTCAATCTCTATCATTCATGTAATCTTATTTTAAAGTGAACATATAATTTCCTTCGTTTATTTGTTACCAGGAAAAACATATTAGCAATAACAAACGTCGTTTATGATTTGCGCTGAATAGAATAAATACTAAGATTACCTGATCTAGTCAGATATTCGGCATAATTTACTGTATTTGAAAGAGGAGGGGTTATTATATACATGTATAAAAATATAAAAGCTGAGGTCAAAAATGATATGTACATATAAAAAAACATTTCGGTGCCAAAGATTTATAGATTATTGTTACAGAGCGTAAGGAAACAAAGTAATATTTTGACTGTTTGTCAGAGATAACTTACATCATAAACGAAGTGGGGTTTTTTAAATGCTGCATATCACAACTTAAGAACGAGTTTCAACAGGATAAAGAAATCATATTTCAAAAATACACAAACAATTTTCAAGCGAAAACACAATATATTAACAGAGATAAAGCCATTTATTCAAAGTATCCAACAGAATAATTAATAAGTTATCCGAAAGTCAAATTTGTACTGATTTCAAAAATTCAATTTTGAAAAAAATCAACTTTTACAATTACTGGATATACAAAGTGGCCGCCAAATTTTAAGAATTCATACTGCATGTATATATATTCTCTTTATTTTTATGAGTATATGTTTTGTTATTTTATATTGTTTTAATTCTGAAAATGATCTATTATGACTTTACATGAATTCAATGTTTTTCATTGATCTATTATATTGTAAATTGTATCATTTTGTGTAGTATTATTTAAAATATGTTGTTTTAAACTGGTAAAATTGTAATAAGATTAAGATTTGTACGGGTACATTGCATTAAAAAGATAGTATGCACGAGAGTTTGAATCGTTTGAATACTTCTGTAAAAAACCTATAGCCAATAACTATAGAAATATATTCTTGGTAACATGACTACCTCTTACAGAACTGTCTCGCAGAATAGAATAATATATTACCTTAAAAACTAAGCTTTGGTTCTTATTTAGATTACAATTCAAACAAAAAAAGTCATCAACTTAATGTTTCGTGGAAACTTAAATCAAGTGTACATGGTAAAGCATATTTTTATTTGTGATATTCTAGCTTACAAAAAAAAAACCTTTTTGTTCACACTTTAATTCGGCGACATGCACATACTAAGAAGTAGCGACAGAGCGATTTACCGTATTCCGCCGAAAAAAAATCTCTTTTATTAACCAGGCATGATTCTTCAATGACGTTTGATGCATGTAAATGAAAAGCAATGGAAATGTAAAGATGACTTGTCAAATATTAAAATGACACTTGTTAGCATTATATGGAAATATATTACTACTATAATTATGATACAGTCTGATAAAATGCAAATGTAAGTACATGTATATTCAATGCTATATTTATAACCCTACCAGTGTAAAAACGTTTATATCCTTGTTTTATATTTAAGTACACACAGTTCAGGAAAAGAACTTCACGTTCTCAATTCTGGAAGGTGATAATGCCACATTACCGTGTATCCTTCCGCCGGAGTTGTCTGAAAATAACACCGTAAGTATATAAACAATTATGGTGTGATCAAATGTAAAAAAAAACAACAACTGCCGAACATCTTAAATACATATGTTCTTTATTATCACTTAAAAGTCCTTTTTTGTAATTTCAGTGCCCAGCATATACAGATTGCTGCCCTAACAATTAGACTGTTTAAAATGTGACATTGATATAATTCTGTCATAAACCGTTGCCGAAGAAAGTTACTTCTTAACAGTTACACTTTACATTTACGTAATGTACAGTGTACATAGGAATTTAACAGTAACACTTTATCATGATGTTAATGATTCAGTGTTTTCATGGTGGTGGCCTTGTTATTGGGCTGAAGACTGTCATATTAGACCGAGGCCAAAGGCTTACTTACATGTACTAATGGTACACAGAATCGTTTCATTGTTATCCAAAGCTTGTCTGTTTACATAACATGTATACATCACATTTATTATCTTTTTAAGGTATATTGGCACTATGGAACACAAACTATTTCCGAGGGTGAAAATATAACTACTAAAGGAAATAAAGACAGACTGTCCCTTCAGAGAACCGCTATCCTAAGGAATGGGAGGGTGGTTTTTTTTAAAAATTAAAATGCTCTCCGGCCAAATTTTTATAGTTTAAAAAAATAAATTTTTTCTCAAAGTTAAATAAAATTGAAATAAAACCTAGTTTTCAAAGGAAAAAAACCCCCGCCCCTTTTTTTAACCCTTAACACAAACCAAAACGATTAACCCTAATGTGCAACCTTTTAAGGGTTTTAAATTTTCCCTTTTTTTAAAAAAAAATTTTGTTTGTTCAAAAATAAATATTTCCCGGGAAATTTTTTTTTGGAAAAAATCCCCCCATATCAATTTAAATTTTTTTGGGGGTTTAAATTTATTTTGTTTCTAAAAATAAAATATCGGGGGAAACTTTACCGTTTCTTTTTTAAAAACCCAAAAGATTTTTTATTTTTAGAAAAACCCTCCGGCATATCCCCTGTCCACATGGGAGACGAGGGTGTAAAGTACCGGTGTCACGTGACTTTGTTTTTTTTAAGGGTAATTGAAAAAAATTTGACGAAAAAAAATTTTTCTTTCCTGTCTGTAAAAATCAGAAATTTTTTTACTTGTTGTTCCCCGAGTGCCCTTTTTTAAGATTTAAATTTTTAAAAATTTTTGATTCCACCCTTTGTTTTTTTGAAGCTTGGATTACGTTACCCCAAAGCTTTTATACCCTCTTCAAACCGTTGTTTTAAAGTAAAAAAGCCACCATTCTTAATTATAAGTTTTACCCTTATTAATAAATTAAAATTATACAATTTTCCTTAACCCGTTTTGGGTTTGTTTATATTTTTATTGGTCATTTAAAAAGTTTTAGGTTTGCTTTAAATTTTGGGGAAACGTTATTTTACAAAGGGCGTTACGGGGGGATTAAATTATTTTTAAATTTTAGGAAACCCGTTTATTTTTCGGGGTTTCTATTTACCAAAAAAAGGAAAAAAGCTTTTTAATTTTTTTAGGTTCATTTTTCCCGGGGGATATGGGGCAACAAAGGTTTTTTTTGGGTTTAACTTAAAAACAAAGAAAAGGAAAAAAATTCCCCCTTATTTAAGTTGGGTTACGCCCCCCATAAAACAATACTTTGGTTTTGTTTTTTATTCATACGTTAAAAACGATTAAATGCATTAATATTGGCCAATTTTTAAAAATTTTTTGTTTAAAATTCATTTTAAAAGTTTTTGGGAATTAAAAGGTTTCCTAAAATTCTTAAAGGGAAAACACCTTATACCCTTAAAGGATACCCATTATATTAAGGGAAAACATTCATTTTACTTTTTGGTTAATTTAATTTTACGTTAGGTAAATTAAAAACTAATTTTACCAAATTTTAAAGTTTTGAAACTTTCATTATACGTTAGGTTAAAACATTGGTTTCCCTTCTTTATGGTAATTAAATTCCAAAAAACGTTAGGTAAAAATGGTCAAACAAAACGTTTAGGTAAACAAATTTATTTTTTCGTTAGGTTAATTCATTATACGTTTGGGTAAAAATTTATAATAAAGTTAGGTAAAATTTTTTATAGTTTTAAAGGTTTAAAAATTCATTACGTTAAAAGGGATAGGCCCTCATACGTTAGGTAAAACCCTTTATCATACTTAGGGTGATGGCATTATACTTAAATAAAAATTAAATTTTAAAGTTGGTTTTTTAAACATAAACGGTTTGGTAAAAAATTTTATTATACGTTAGGGTAATATTTTATTATACGTTAGTTTACCCCTTTATTTAAAAATTTTATTAGGTATGGTCATTAAAACGTTAGGTATACCCCTCATTAATATTAGGTAAAACGTTTATCATAATTAGGTAAACCTTCCCTTATAGTTTTGGTATACGCTCATTTTTTACGTTAGGTAAAACGCCCATATACTTGGTTACGTTTATTATACTTGGTATACCCCCCCCTTATCGTTAGGTATACGCTCATTATACGAAATTTACGCCCCATTATACGTTTTGGTATTCATTATTAACCTTAGGTTATACCTCAAATTTTTACGTTTTGGATACATTCATTATACGTTAAGGGGGTACATTCTTTTACTTAGGAAAACGCCCTTATACGTTAGGTATAACTTTATTATAAAGTTAGGATAGGTCATCATACGTTAGTAAAATTCCCTTATACGGGGGAGTTTAAGGTTAAATTATTTAAAGTTAGGTATACCCAAGAACGTTAAAAATTTAGATCCTCATTTTTAAAAATTATTAGATCATTTCTTAGGTATAACCCCCAAAACTTAAATTAGTATAACCCCATTAAAACGTTAAAGGTTTTTCACTTTAAATTTTAAAAGTTAAAGGGAACATAATTTTTACTTAGGTAAAGGTTCCTCATACGTTAAAGGGATGCCCCTCATTTTAGTTAGGTAAACATAATTTGTAAGGGATACATTAAATACGTTAGGTAACTTATTAACTTAACTAAAAATTTATTTTATTTTGGGGGGGAAGGGCATTAATTCGTTAAAGGGAAATTCATTTTACGTTTTGGGATACCATTTTTATTTTTGGGATACCTTAAATTTTACGTTAAAGGGAAACATTTATTATACGGTTTTCCGGTAAAATTCATTATAGCTTTGGTTTAATGGAAAAAAACTTAGGGTAACTTATTCTTATCTTCATATAATTGGGGATAAGTTGTAAAAATTTTAATTATAGTTAGGATTTTGGTCATATTAACCCTTAAAAGGAACCTTGAAAATAGCAATTATTTTGCTTCATTCTTTTTTTAAATTAAACCCTTAACGTTAGGGATAGAAACATTAAAAAGTAAGTAAACATTTATTTTTACTTAGGTAAACCTTTATTAAAAGTTAGGTATACATTCATTTAAAACGTTAGGTATATGGTCATCATACGTAAGGGGGTGGCTCAAATACGTTTAGGTAAAGATCATTTACTTAATTTTACTTTATTATAGGTTTTTTTTATAATTCAAAAAAAACGTTAAAGTTATGCTCATTATACTTAATAAATTCCCTATTCCTTTTAAGGATAATTCAATACGTTTTTGGGAACCCCATTAAAATAATTTCCCCATTATTTCTTTGGTTAAAAAATTCATTAAACGTTAAAGGGAAAAATTTATTAATATTTTGGTATAGTCATCAAAAACGTTAAATAATGCACTCATTATACGTTAGGGAAACATTCCCTTTTTACGGGTTTGGTATAAATTTATTATACTTAAAGGGATAGTTTATTATAACCTTAAAATTTACTTCCCCAAAAAACCCTTGGGAACATTTATTTAGTTAAAGGGTTTACATTTTTTACGTAAGGAAAACCTTTATTATAACGTAAGATAAAAATTTATTATACGTTTGGTGTAGGTATCTACGAGGGGAACATTCCTTTAAAACGTTGGAAGCTAAAAATTAAAAATTTAATTTTATACGTTTGGGGAAAACAAAAAATTTTTTGGGGTTTGTTTTTACCCCATTTAATTTTAACAATTTTATTATAGGGAAAGGGATACCATTAAAATAGGGGGGGGGATTAACTCTTATACGTTAGAATTTTAAGGTCATTTTAAATTAGGTTTTTAACTCAATTTATAAGTTTTAAGGTTAAAATTTCATTATAACTTAATATTACGGGGCCTTAATTCGGGGAAATTGGTTTTCCCCTTCCCAAATCGTTAAGGTATTTTTTGGGGTTTCAATTTAACCCAAAAAAAAACGCCAAAATTTATAACGTTAAGGTTTTTTTACATTTTAAAAAAAAGTGGAACACCCCTTTTTTACGTTAAAAAGGAAAAAAACCCCATCCAAAACGTTTAGGGGTTTCGCCCCCCTTCAAAAAAAGGTAGGGTTTTCTTCTTTTTTTACCCATAGGTAAATTATTCATACGTTGGTTTTAAAAAAATTAAGATAGGGTTTTGTATATCTTTTAGGTTTGTTTTTTTCATTTATCCCTTAAAAAATAAAATCAAAATTTTTCCCCTTTGGTTAAAATTGGTCATTATACTTAGGTTTTAAAATCATTTTACGTTAAAATATACCCCGGCCAAAAATACGTTTTTTGGATACCCAACTCATTTCGTTCTTTGGTTAAAATTTAAAAAAAACTTAAGGAACTTTGGTATAACCCCATTAAAACGTTTAATTTAAAATTCCTTTTTATCGTTAATAAAAACTCATTATAAGTTAATTTTGGTAAAACTTCATTTTTAAAGGGTTAATGTAAAGGGTCAAAAATACGTTAAAATTAAAATGGCCCCTTATAGGGTTTGGGTTTTCGGGTCATCATACATAAAGGGGTTTTTTCTACCGTTAAAAATAAAAAAATATAATTTTCGTTTTTTAATATAACAAAAAGGGGTATACTCTCATACGTTAGATATATAGTCATTTTACGTTAGGTTTAAGCTTATTATACGTTAGATATACACTCAACATACGTCCATTTAGATATATGTTCATTATACTTTAACTTAGATCGTTATTAGATATATGCTCAAGATACGCTAACTTAGATATATGCTCATTATACGTTAGATTTATGCTCATTATATGTTAGGTATACGCTCATTATACGTTATGTATATGGTCATCATACGTTAGGTTTAAGCTCATTATACGTTAGATATACACCCAATATACGTTTATTTAGATAAATATGCTCATTGTACGTTAACTTAGCTCACTCACTTAGATATATGCTCATGATACGTAAACTTAGATATATGCTCATGATACGTAAACTTAGATATATGCTAATTATACGTAAACTTAGATATATCCTCGTTATACGGTAACTAGATATATGCTCATTATACGTAAACTTAGATATATGCTCATTATACGTTAACTTAAATATATGCTTATTATACGTTAACTTAGATATATGCTCATTATACGTTAACTTAGATATATGCTCATTATACGTTAACTTAGATAAATGCTCATTATACGTTAACTTAGATAAATGCTCATGATAGGTTAGGTATACGCTCATAATAAAGTGAATAAACGCTTATTGTACGTTACGTTTACGCTCATCATACTTTTATCAATGTCTTATTCCAGGCTGAATAAGAATAAAAATGTGTTTTGCTTTATATATTAAGGTCCGTTTTACGATTGTTAACGATTTTTCATATTTAAACATATCAATATATATTGCAAATGTTTTTCATGGTATCTATTTAAAATAAAATGTGTGTGATTTTGTTTCAAGCTCTCCCGGTGGTTACAGGATACGATGCTGACAAGATCTACCTACAGGTGTGCAACACTGCACGTGTAACGTTATATTGTAATGTAACAGGCCGGCCGTCACCCACTATCCAATGGTATAAAAGGAAACCTGATGGTAAACTAAAATGTAAGGAATATATATTACTGTAGCATCGTTATAATAATAATAATAAAAATAATAATAATAATAATAATAACAATTTTAAAAATAATAATAGAAACAATTGAAGGACTTATATCTTTTCGCAAAGGTCATGTTTGTTAACGAGAACGTTTCTACTTTTACCAACTTTAACATTTTGTTCATGTACTGAAAATCATAGAGAACGAGTCCTTGGTAAAAACAGACTTAATCAATTTTTATTTTCAAGTTATTAAAACAGATTTTATACCATATTATATTATATTTTCATACAATGTTAATATTTAGAACGGAATGCTAACTATTTCAAAGACCAGTTATGCAGTAACTCTTTATTTGAGCCGCGTCATGACAAAACCAACATAGTGCGTTTGCGACCAGCATGGATCCAGACCAGCCTGCGCATCCGCGCAGTCTGATCAGGATCCATGCTGTTCGCTTACCAACTCTATTACAAGTAAAGAAACTGATAGCGAACAGCATGGATCCTGATCAGACTGCGTGGATGCGCAGGCTGGCCTGGATCCATGCTTGTCGCAAACCCATTATGTTGGTGTTGTCATGGCACAGCTCATTTATTTGTTATTCCAGACTTAAAACTTAATACTGAAAGTATATTTATACCTGACGTGAGACATTCCAATGCGGGCATTTATCTTTGTAAAGTGTCAAACAGACATGGTCAAGCTGGAATGGAGTTCCATATATCAGTTGTCGGTAAGTTATTTGAAAGTTGTTAATGTTTTAGATTTTAACATGTCATCATTATTTTTTTAAATCGAAAAAAGACTTAAAACCATTTGCGCTCTTTATGTTAAAATATAGCAAACAATACATTAATAATTCAAAATTTCCATTCAAAATATACGTATAAAAAATTGTGGCAAATTCAATTAGTAAGTTAAAACGAAAAAAGGGAAAAGGGCTACATTTCAGAACAAGACAAAAATAAGGGAAATGCAATTAAAAATTAAAACCATTAAAACGTTTGTTCATGAAAATCAAATGTCATGAATAAATTAAAATTGGACAATTTCAGTTTAAAAATTTTAACAGAAGAAAAATAAGACAACTAGTCTTTCTTGCAGTGATTTGAAATCGTTACGTCTTTATTTCAAGTATGTTATTCTATCTAGAATTTTTATCGATTTTACAGATCTCGTTGAGGAATTGGTAACTGTCCGTGGCCCGCAGGAGCCCTATCAAAGACGTCCAGCCAAGGTTATGAGCTCAGCGTCTGCACAATATCCCTCGATGCAACTATTTATATATTTTCATTCCTATATCATACGTTTATGTTTTACCCATCGTTAATGTTGCGATATCAATATAACACTGTAACATACATGCTTTGTTACGCCTTTTTTACTTAATCAATTAAACTTAGTTAAACAAACCAATTCAAGATATTCAACAAGATCGTAAAGTTAACTATAATAATTAGCTTATATTTAACACAAAGTCATGTGTTTTCGCGAATCATTTAGAAAATCGAGAAGATTTTTGCAGTTGTAACTCCGGTCTCAATTTCCGGTTAAAATCAAGGACGTTTTGTTTATAAATCATCAACCCTGCGCTCTTTGATGTCAGTCAGATGCTGAAAACCCCTGCTTTATGACCTGCCACTGCAACTTACATAATTATATTCAAAGCTGTTTCGAACCCAGTACAGAACCAGCCTATTGGCCTGTCAGTGTAGGTTCATTTCCCATTCTATGTAACCCGCATCGCCCGTAATGAGAAAAGAAGACGAATGTTTTAGTAGTTTTGAAGATGTAAAAAAGAAAGCAACAATAACATAATTCAAGTTATTACCACATTAATTCATAATAATCAAATATGAAACTTTAATTTAAGCACACGAGAATGGTAATTTATTCTAATTTAACCTTGATGATGTACTATATGCACCGCTACAGGGCAACTCATAGATATTCAACTTTATTTACTGTTGAATATTATAGCGAAATGATTTATACGTGAATATATATGCACGTAAATAACAATGTATGCCCTACTTCCTTTTATTTAAATGTCAACTCTTGATTTATTCTGTCATAAAAATAAGCCGAATTTGCATGTTTTTGTTTTGCTGTATATAATTATTTTGTAGCAAAATAAAAAGTCCATGTTCAAGACGTTAACACTGTTGTTGATTTTTAACTCTCACTCTATCTTAATATAATACATTATAGAATTATCTTTTTAAGTGGTATCGGGCCTTTAAATAAGATAGTATTCACGTGTTTTCAGACCGCTTGAACAACCGCTATTGATTTTTTCAGGTTCCTCTAAAGTACAAAATGCGTATTAAGAGTGTCAAAAAATATTCAGTAAATTTTGCTAGAAATGTTCTTTGTAACAAACATATTTTCTTTCTTTGCAAAACTTTTACCATTTTGTTCTAATAAAGTGCAGTATTATATTAGAAATAGGTCACTGTACTTCGAACCTCATTGCATTGATTTACCTTCCAGTCTGCAAAAGACATCGCACGAGCGAAAACCGAAGTCTAGGGTTCGTTGAATGTTTGCGGGATGACGGATCGGCCTCTACAATGCTATGACCCGAGAAGTGTTCTATTTCTTAATTGGAGTCCTATTAACAACATCCTAAAATGTTATAACAGAAGTGATATATTTTTACTATAAGGCTTCACTTGTTTTAAAGTTCAGCAAGATGACCATGTTATTTTGTTTGTTTGCTTTTTAATCTAGCGGGAATATCTTTGTACCAGGATAAAGTCAGAATTAGCTGAACAAACCCTTACCTGACTATAAATTGCGACTATATTGTTGCCTTTTTAAATGTCACATTCCTAAAAGCACATTTGAAAATTTCAAAGGAAAGAAAGGCATGTCAATTTATTCAGTTTAGTGGTGTAACAGATATTAAATCTTTAAATCAGTTATGCATGACTTGAAAAGTTACAATATACAGATTTTAAACGATCTAAAGCGAAACAAAAAGTATTTGACTTTACATCGGAGTTTTGAATACAGCTCTTGTCTTGTTTAATGAATGCCATCACGTGTGCAAATTCTCATTTGCTAAAAACGTTTCAGTACAATAACATTTAATTGTTACGTCTTCCCAGGGACCCAGGGTCTAGGAAACACTGTAAGATATATTTGAGCCATGTCATGACAAAACCAACATAATGGGTTTGCGACCAGCATGGATCCAGACCAGCCTGCGCACCCGCGCAGTCTGATCAGGATCCATGCTGTTCGCTTACCAACCCTACTACAAGTAGAAAACTAATAGCGAACAGCATGGATCCTGATCAGATTGCGTGGTTGCGCAGGCTGGTCTGGATCCATGCTGGTCGCAAACCCATTATGTTGGTTTTGTCGTGATGCGGCTCATTTCTAAATGAAATTATTTTGTTCCGCGAATAGTACCTTACACCGACACATTCATGTACACATTTATATCTACTTCATTAATATGCAAAAATACATCTATGAGAATCGTTCAATTCAAATAAATTGAACGCCTTATTGACATTAATTTTCATATTATATCATAAATATTGAACATGATCTACTACAAATACCAAAAAACTTCGGAGATTTTTATGTGGCGTTTTCCGGTATTTTCATCCACATGAGATTCCGTGATAGTTAACATTATTGGTGGTCCGTTATTGGTGGTCTGTCTCGACAAAACTTATAACATGTCATTTATATGACAGTTGATTGTTATGCTGAATAAGCTGTACACAAGAAAATTAATTACATTTTAAAAGCCATGTGAACCGTTGTAAAATGTTTAATGGGATGAAACTCGGTTCAGGGTTCTTAAATATCCGATTTTAAATAGAAATATTTTTTTTCGAAACTCCTTTAGATTACTTAGGAATTTAGACGTATATACGTTTCGGATAAGTTTACTAATTTTAGAATTGCCCATGAGATCCTGATTTCAGTTTTTAATTTTAAAATGACCAATGCGCACATACCTATATCAAGTAGGTTTTCGACAATAATAATTAAAATAATCAAGATAATAATAAATAATAATAATAATAGTTATACTGAAAATTAAGATGATGAAGAGGAATTGATTAAAATTGTGATAATGATAAATTGTAATATTGTAATATCACACGTTTATGTTTTACCCATCGTTAATGTTGCGACATCAATATAACACTGTAACATACATGCTTTGATACGCCTTTTTTACTTAGTTAAACAAACCAATTTAAGATTCAACAAGACCGTAAAGTTAACTATAATAATAAGCTTATATTTAACACAAAGTCATGTGTTTTCGCGAATCATTTAGACAATCGAGAGGGTTTTTTGTAACTCCGGTCTACATTTCCGGTTAAAATCAAGGACGTTTTGTTCATAAATCATCAACCATGCGCCCTTAGATGTCAATCAGATGCTGAAAACTCCTGCTTTATTACCTGCCACTGCAACTTACATAATTATATTCAAAGCTGTTTCGAAACCAGTACAGAACTAGCGTATTGGCCTGCCAGTGTAGGTACAGGTAGATGGGTCATTTCCCATTCTATGTACCCCGCATTGCCCGTAATGAGAAATGAAGACGAGTGTTTTAGTAGTTTTGAAGATGTAAAAAAGAAAGCAACAATAATTTAATTCAAGTTATTACCACATTAATTCATAATAATCAAATATGAAACTTTAATTTGAGCACATAAGAATGGTAATTTATTCTAATTTAACCTTGATGATGTAGTAAATGCACCGCTGCAGGGCAACTCCTAGATATTCAACTTTATTTACTGTTTGATATAATAGCGAAATGATTTATTCGTGAATATATCTGCACGTAAATAACAATGTATGTCCTACTTCCTTTTATTTAAATGTCAACTCTTGATTTATTCTGTCATAACAATAAGCCAATTTTTTTATGCTTTTTATGTACATAATTAATTTGTAGCAAAATAAAACGTTCATGTTAAGGTATTAATAATGTTGTTGAATTTTAACTCTCACTCTATTTTAATACAATACATTATAGAATTATCTTTATAAGTGGTATCGGGCCTTTAAATAAGAAATATTCACGTGTTGTCCGACAAAAAAGGTGACCGCTTGAACAGCCGCTATTGTTTTTTCAGGTTCCTCTAAAATGAAACGCTGTATTGCTGCGAGGATGTACAAATCGGTATTAAGAGTGTAAAAAATATTCAGTAAATTTTGCTAGTAACAAATATATTTTTTTTTATTTGTAAAACTTTTACCATTTTGTTCTAATAAAGTGCAGTATTATATTATAAATAGGACACTGTTCTTCGGACCTCATTGCACTGATTTACCTTCCAGTCTGCAAAAGACATCGCACGAGCGAAAACCGAAGTATATGGTTCATTAAATGTTTGCGGGATGACGGATCGGCCTCTACAATGCTATGACCCGAGATGTGTTATATTTGTTAATTGGAGTCCTATTAACAACATCCTTCAATGTTATAACAGAAGTAATATTTTTTTTACTTTAAGGCTTCAATTGTTGTAAAGTTCCGCAAAATGGCCATGCCATTTTTTGTTTGCTCGTAAATTTAGCGGTATGTAGAACATATCTTTTGTACCAGTGTGAAGTCATAATAAGCTAAACAAACCCCTTATCTGACCATAATTTGCGACTCTATTGTTGCCTTTTTAAATGTCACATTCCTAAAAGCAACATCTGAAAATTTCAAAAGGAAAGAAGGGCTTGTCAATTATTTCAGCTTCGGAGATATTCATATTATATCATGAACACTGAACCTAATCTACTAAAAGTACCAGAAAGTGTGGGAGTTTTTTATGTTGGTGTTTTCGGTATTTTCATGCAAATGAGTTTCTGTGATCGTTAGCGTAATTGGTGGTCTCTTATTTAGACAAAACTTATAAAATGTCATATATATTACAGTTAATTGTAATGCTGAATATGCTGTGTACTAGAAAATTAATAAAATAACAGCAGTGTTAATTGTTGTAAAATGTTTAATTGGAGGAAGCTTGGTCAAGAGTTCTCAAATATCCGATAAATTTAAATAGAAAACTTTGTTTTCGAAACTCCTTTATATTAATTAGGAATTTAGATGTGTATACGTTTCAGAAAAAAACCTTCAGATTATTTACCAATTTAAAAAACCCGATGAGATTCCTTCATTTCAGTTTGTTATTTGAAATGATTGACGGAACTCCTACCTATATTCAATTCATCCCTATATATTTTACAGGAAGTCAAACTGTAAGAATATTATAGATTAAAGGCACATTGGACCTCAGAAACAAATAAATTTTACTTCTTTACAAAAGGCAAGCATTAATTTGATATTTTTACAGAATGTTAGATGCTTGTTACCTAAAGAAAGTAGCGATAAATGTGAAAATATTTGTCATTAAGTAGTATAATGTAATTCCATACAAAATACTAATTCTAGATGAAAAACATGGTTCTGATAATTTACCTGGATACTATATGAAAGTACTACAAATTAAAAAGCTTTTGAGAAATAAAAATGAAAGCATCTCTGAGGCATAATGGGCCTTTTAATATGAGGTGGCCGTAGGCTTTCGACAATAATAATGAAAATAATCAAATGATAATGATAATAATAATGGTTGTTGATGATAATCAAGATGATGACTAGGATGATGATTATAATGGTGATTATGATAATTACAAATTGTAATATAATTATCAAATTAAAATAAAAGAACGACGCTGAGATAATTTTAAAGCTATTTTATTCATTTATCTGGAAAAATCTGTTTTGTGTTTTAATATAATTGTATTGAATTTGAAAATCAAATATTGTTATTTCATAAAAAGAGTGTTTTATTATTTAAATTAACTTTATAACTTTTTCTACGATTTCCATTCCTCCCTCAAGCCAGTCCGATTGACCGCTTGCAGAGAATATGTTTCCAACAATGTATACGTCATCCCTCGCGGACGGCTTTGTCATGCATGTTTCCACTTCATCCCAGTCATATCCTGGTCTCCATGTGTACCACGAAGCTCCTATAGGGTACATGTCAAATACCGACAGTACCTGAAAATAATTGAGACAGTAATATTATAATTAGTGCCTGTCTTAGATCTTAACCTAATTTGAAAATAAGAGCTCAAATAATTTTTTTTGCCAAATATGGTAAAGCAAGCGCACTGTGGCGTAAATGGTGGGTACTCGGTATTTAGAACATCGTTTGATACCAATAGTTGATTAACATGTAATCAAGATATATGTTAATGGTTCGGCTGTGGGTATCCGACAATGCATTTAGAATAAAACAGTTATAATATCAATTAAGGCAACAACACTACTAAGTAAACTCAAATCATATGTTTTAAATTGCGTTTCAATATGTTTGAACGCTTCACCATTTGTTTCTTGAAAAGTCCATATTAATTGTTGAGGGTGCAATCATATAAGCATCACATAATAAAATACAGTGAACGGCGCTGACCGGTCTAATAAAAATAAACCTGATCAGAATTACAAACAAAAAAGAAAATTCATTGATAAGTCATCAACTCCTAAATGGACTTTTTATGGCAATTTATCTTTGTCCAGGGTATCAGCAAATTCAAGAATTTTATTTGATGAACTATTAAACTACGATAAAACATTCATACAGCAGAGGTTGGTCTTGGTACATTAGCTTGTGGCATTTTAAATATTTCAGCATAAAACTTCCTCGCAAGGTCCACGCTGTCATCCGTCATTCTGAAATGGTTGTCACCAAATCCCGGTAGGAACTTTCCAGTTTTTATAGCTTCCTTCCATAACTTGGTGTCTATAAATATTCATCAGATGTAAATTACTTGAAAACAAAAATAACAAAAGTAAATCAATCATGACAGGCATTAATTCATTACCTTTATTACCTCAATAACTGAAGAGCGTTTTATATAAAATCGACATATATTACTAGTATTCATGCTAATGTTCGTACAAATATATATATATAACTGGAAAAAAATAAAGGTACTTAAATGCATAGAATATCACGTTCATAGTGGACTCCACATTATTGTTTATGAGATATATATCAATAGCATTAGTGTTGAGCTTTATAAGTGTAATAAAATCATTAAGATTAAGGTGAAGGCAAAAGCCAAATCCTATTTATTTGAGTAGTTTAAAATTACAATAATTTTAATATTGAGGAAAGATGATGAATATGTAAGGGAAAAATAACTTTTATAATATACAAATGACTGCCGAAAGCACATCAAGCAATTGACCGGAATCGAACTAACATTAGTTAGGTGATTGATGCATATTTTGGTCATCAAAAAGTGTGAAAAAGTTGTTTTTTTACATGCAAATACTCCGAACATATCGATAATTGCTGGTAATGGCAAGATGTTTACTTTTTTCCTATCTTCAAGTATTTTTGCAGACACAGGGAGCTGTTACATGCATTTCCTGTACATGTATCTACAGTTGATTCGATCTTTGTAAATCTAATGCTGATTAATATTGTGAAAATCGACCTGACCTAAATTTAAGCGTAAACCATAAATGTAATTTTCAAAATCTAATGCACATTATTACCTTGTTGTGTAACACACATTGACTATTGATCCAAGGAAAGAAAATATGCACGTACCTGCATCAGTATATGCCGTATTCAAAACTCCTTTGAAAGTTGTATTTGATATGCCATAATCGTATGTTTGTCTTAAAGGAGTCATTGATACAGCATATGTGGTTGCCAAAGGTATGTGGCGCCACCAAGCATGATCATAGCCAAAGTAAATCTTACTAGCTAGAACTGTCTACAAAAAATAAACATTCATAAATAATTTTCTCATGCGTTTGTATCAAGTAAAACTTTTATATTTTCTTACTACGTTGAAGATATATGCATAGGTCCGATCCCTACACTTCTAAGGTAACAACCACGTTTACTTCATATAACACCAGTACTGGTGAGTTACAGAAAGCGGTATCGAACTTGATATTCATGGTCGCTATTGATTACCCATAAGTCTATTTTTTGACTTAATAATTTCAGTCGCTTTTGCTTACCAATGTGCATATTGTTTTTAGAGTTGCAATTGACTTACTTCAAAATAAAGAATATTTTGTTTTTTTCCAAGCCAATCCTGAGGTACAGACAAACCTAAACAGTAACAGTCTCGAAAGAAAGTGCAATAGGTAGACTTATATATTATGACCGATAGTGCACCGTGAAGCTTTAACTGTAAAAGTTTGTTTGTACCGGGGGATTAGCATGGAAAACCCACATTTGCCGAGTTCCGGATTTCAACAATTGGTAACAAGTGTGTATAAGTAATAGAAAGAGCATCAAAACACGAGGTTATCTGATTTGTACGAGGGGGTATCAGATTTCCGAGTGATTTAATGTTCTTTCTCTTTTTTATCAGAGTCAAACATAAAACACAGTCCCTGTTGTCACAATATAAATCCCCAGAAAAAAATAACCAATGAACGAGCATCTGAATATGACATTTCGATCGCTTTCCCTTTCTCTGCCGTCACAATAAAAAACCCCAGCAAAAAAGAGCCAATCAATTGACATGCTCTGACGTGCGGGTAATTAATACCTGCACTCCAATTAACGCACTGTGCATGTATATGTACACGATTTAACTCTGACACATTTTCAACAGAAAGGTCCCCAAACTATGATACAACTATTTATAGCCGTCATTGATAATGTTAAATCACATGTTAAACTATTTTAACAACAATAACAATTACAACTACAATTTGACCTTTTGTTGTCTTTGGTTATCAGAACATTGAACATGTCCATTTACGCTCACTTAGGAATACTTTTTTTGGCATATGCCTTGTCGTGTATTCCATTAAAGATACTTATCACATTTATCACATACTCGTGCCGATTTTGCGACTCCGTGCATATATTTTGACGTGAAGTCGTTTGCGTTACACAAACATAGCGTAAAGACGCGCTAAATATTAGCGTAACACTTTAGGAGCGTCAATGAAAAATGATTCTTTTGCTATTTAAACAGTCTTTATTTTGGTAATGTGAGAAATAGAATATTTTATTTGTGTAGGGTTAATACTGAATTTATTGAACGAGTTGAATAAAATGATATCATTTTATTCAACAAGTTCAATAAATTCGCTCAATACATTCAATGCCCTCTATTTATGCATAATCTTTTTATTTATTTTACCTTCACCGAGTTTTTGAGATAATTCTGCACTTTTTCCTGTCGGAGTCCGTCCCAATCTAGATTTTCAAGTCCTAGTTTAGGGATTGCTAGTAACACTTTCTTTGCACACCTTTCTGTTGCTGGTAGATTCTAAAACAAACAATACACAGTACAATTCTTAGATTTTAAAGTTAAACACTGTTTCAGTTTTCGTTATGGGAAACATTCTCATTTGAAAGTTAATGAATGTGTACAACTTTCTTTTAAAAACAGTGATTGCATTATTAATTGCAGTTTAAAGTTTTCAGCTCCGATAGCGAGTAGATCTATTCTTACATAAGTAAATGTATTAAATATAGAGCTATTAATTTAAAGATGCATGCAACCAGATGAGCCAAACTATTTCAAGAAAATTAAGCTTAAGAAAAATGTACTAAGATTTTACAAAAAGTAAAGAAAATTTAACAGTCAAGTAATAATTTACATGTCATGTGGGATTAAGGACAGGTTTACCATGATTTATCACCAATTTTGCTACTGCGTTACTAGTTAGGGCTAATTTTCAGGTATGTGAAGTTGGCTTGTAGATTGTACATCGTAGTTCAGCTTGTAATTCGCCAATTACAAGCTTGTAGATGGGTATTCAGCTTGTAGATCGGCTTGCACATTGTTCATCGTAATTTAACTTGTAGTTCGCCAATTACAAGCTTGTATATCGGTATTTAGCTTGTAGTTCACCCTAACTGCACCACTGACCAGCATTCATAATATTTGATATACAAGCTTATAGTTGGATATTCAGCTTGTAGTTCAGCCCAGATACATCAGCATACACATTATTTGAATTACAAGCTAGTAGTTGGGTATTCATCTTGTAGTTCGGACAAATACATAAGCATACATGATATTTGAATTACAAGCTAGTTGTTGGGTGAAGATACAATAAATTCAACGACACTTGGCATGTACATGTCATTATCAACAACTTTACATTCTTGATTTGTGTCCTTTAGCGTCTTGGGTCCCATTGATTTAAACAATGGCGTAAACGGGGAGCTCTCCCTAATCGTCTGTTTTGATAAATCGGCAGAGGGATCAGATAATAGTTCTTCGTGTCTGTTGTAATCATTTTGCTCATCATCAGAGTCTGCTACACAGCCCATATTTTGTTTCAAGATACTCTCTTTCTGAGCGGCCACATCGTCATTGTCTTGTTTGGAAAGACAAACCTTGCATAACTTTCAAAATATATCCAGCCCCGATTGCAATGTCGTTGCATTTTAAAGTGTAGCTAAACACTGCATCACAAAGCGGCATGCATGTTTGTTTAAGCTTGGCAGCCTTTTTTCAACATTCGACTGAAGTCTTGCAACATATGGCTAGAACACAGGTGTATAATCGTCAAGCCGTTAGCCTTCGATGCATGTACCATATCGATAATGTTTCAAATCTACGCTATTGAATACTTGAGTGCTAGCCTGAATAATAGCAAAACTGTAAATCAGTTTCTATTTTTCTGACGATTACCGTGTGCCCTTTAAGGCTCAGGTGTCTTTTCACAGTACCAAAAAAGTGACGGATTTTTGGACTTGTATGTTGGGTCGTAAGCATTTCAGTAAAGAGACCGCAGTGTTTTGTAACTCTGCCACAAGTGTATAGAGTAGTGGCCTCTTCTGTCCGTGGACTTTCCTTATTACACTACCAGTGGCATCAAAGTGCAAGTCCAATGTTTTGGCAAATTTGAACTATTTTCAGTTGTTCGTCCGGAATCATTAATACTACTACAGGATCAAGACCTATTTCACGTACGTAGGGGTGTCCCATTAATTCATTATTCTCCTTTAAAATTAGCAATTCAGTTATCATGTTAGAATGCATGACCTCCTTTTTTAGCAATTCTAAAACCATCTTTCGTAGGATACCTTGGTTTGGGACACTGCTAAAGTTGCCTAGTTCCATTTCCTCAGGGCAAACACATGAAAGATTTTCGTTGAAGACTACAGCTGGGGTGATCTGCTGTATCTGTTTGGCCATTTTAAATCTGCTTGACCAGTTATGGTTTTTCTACATCATGCTAAATGTTTCCCTTAACCCTACAATGTACATATATCTCTCCATCCTCGCTTGGTATGTTCATTTCGAATTGGCCACTGCAGTTTTCCCCCTTGCATTTAGCACTAGCGCCAATTAATGGAGCCGACGACTTCCTGCTACCATTTAATTTAACCCAGTGTGCCGTGAAAGCTTAAACGCAGCCTGGGTGGAAACTGCTTATAGGCTTTGAAAATACATCAGTCCATTTCTTCTGCAGTCGTCTACGTGTTAACTGTCTTCTGCCATAACATGTCTTCAAGCCGAACTGCAAGATGAATACCAAACTACAAGCTTGTAATTGGCGAATTACAAGCTGAACTACGATGTACAATGTACAAAATATGATAAACAAGATCATCAAGGAAAGGCGGCGTTCAATGAACCCACCCGACCCAGTAGCAAGAGCCAGTGACAAGGAGCAAACTTCACATACCTCTAATTTTCCTGCTTAGTTTGATCTATTTTGGTAATTTACGTAGGTTGCAAGTGCTCTTTGCAATGCGTATTTTGTTCACTTCACAACGTATCACTTTAAGATAGATTTACATTTTTAAATCTTTCATGAAAGTTAGCACGAATCTAGAGGCATGCTGTTTATATTGTGAATTTACCTTTTTGGCTGATGATGTGCCTTACAAAAATGCAGTCATCGTTGAAGCCTGCGTGATCGTAAAAGGTGACTAAAATGGTTCGAATTACTGGAGTCTATGAACCTCTTAGTTCCAGAAGGTGAGGTGGTTTTGACCCCTGGTGTTGCTTTAAGTCTGTAACACCTGACGTTAGCGAAAATCATCTTTCCTGTTTCAAATGCGTTAGTGCATCATTAAACCAAACAAAACAGACACAGAAACAAACAAACCTTGATATCAGTGGTTATTCCATTTCTTGTTTGTGTAGGTTGAAATTTCAGTACGTAGTCCCCTTTAACGTTTTTCCTTATTGATCTAAGATGACTGTGGTAGTAGAAGTTATGTCTGTAATTAAATTTTATGTCTTGTTAACAATAATACATGTATTATCTTCTGCTTGAAAAGGGTAATAAGTTGAAGTGCTGTCGTTGATGAAAATATGAATCGTTTCCGTTTCCTTAACTCACGAAATTAATGAATATGTGTTGTTTTCTAGAATAACTTAGACATAAATAATATCATGTTAAAGGGGAGAGGGGGTAGAAACTTTATAAAGGAAATTAAGAAATAGTAAGCAGTTTAAGTTTTAAAACTACAAGAAAACAAACATTTATACTTTGCGCTGGCTTGAAGAAAATCTACCACCATCCGTTGAGGAAAAGCCTGGAAACCTTCTTTTACCGTTTTTACGACTTTGGGACGCGGGTACTGTCGCGGTATATCTTCCTCAGCAGCAACTTCCGGACCAAACCAAGATTTAAACCCAGAACTGTCTCGGATGTACTGAATAGTTTCCATGTCAAGGAACTTATTCATATACATTTCCCAACTAAAAATATAGACATCCTAAATATAAATGATCCAGAACTATTTCATGTATACGGATCCGCTCGTTCATTTTAATAATATCAATTGCAGAATAAGTTGTGTTTTGCTTAATATTCCTTGCCAATGAGCTGAAAGTGATACAGAAAAGATTTGGTGCATTTACTCTATTAACTACTAAATTGTTTGATTTTTGTGGTTGATTTGTGCCATGTCGTTTTTTTCGCTCCGGGGGACGTCAGGCGAACACACAAAAATACGAAAAAATGACGACTTTGTCGTACTTTCGCTCCGTGAGGCACAAGCTGAAAAACACGATTATACGACAAATTGAACAACTTGTCGTATTTTCGTGTTTTTGCCTGGCGCCCCGCGGGACGAAAATGTGACAAACTAATGACTTGTCGTATTTTCGTAGACAACATGTTAATTTTGTCATATTTGTTTCGTGTTTTTACGAAAAATATGCAAAGGCACAAATCAGCTATCAGAATTTACTCATTTAAGGGTTTACCTTTGTTTTTTCAATGGTACTCCATCTACAGAAGTCAGGATGCCATTTTGATCAGTGAAAGTAAAGTTGTTAAACACATTCCTGCAAAATAACACTTTCCTCGTATATATATTAAATAAAACTATTATAAATCATGTGATTCATATCATATATAAATATATAAGTCATTTATAAAGAAGAAAGTCTCGAATGGAAATGAAACATAGAAAAAGACATAAGCAAAATCAAACACGCGCAGCCAGGGGTATCTGGATTATCGGTCACTCACATAAACATTTATGAACTATAGCTGGTGTTATTCATTTCTCAGCAAAGTCATATTAAGCACACTGGTGTGAAAATGACGTCACATTATACTGATGTCAGTTCATGACATTTGTTAAATTTTGTGTGAATTTTTTTTGCGTCTGTTAGGACGTTGGGTTTACCCAAAACATGATAAAAACAAGATAACAATGGAGGGCGTCATTCAAAGAACGCATACGTCAACAAAGGACCATCGGAATGAAGTCCAGCAGAACACAAACGCGAGAAGTGTTACAAAGTGTCATCCTTAAATAAGTATATGTAGTAGCAAAAACTTACCAGTTAAGAAGCTTAAGGTCAACACGATTTTCAGCAGGGAGATTATAAGGGGCTTTTACCGGAAGTTGATTATATTCCATATGAGTGCCCCTCAGGTAATATAGTGAATCAGGAAACGGACCATAACCGATTCTAAAGTCTATTACATTAAGACCCAAGTCATAAGCTGTCTTGTTCATTAAAGGGTGGTCTGGAAAATAAAAAATCTACAGATCAATAACTGTCTAAATATATGAATAGATAGGATTTTAAACATTTGAGCGAGTACCTACATTACTGTATATACATAAAAAATCTTATTATGCTAGTTACCTTCTGGTATAAACCTCATTGGTCCTAACTCAACATTTACATCCGGTATTCCCGGAAGTTGAACAGTGTAACAGCGTCCACCAATACGATTGGAATACTCGTACATGGAAATTTTTAGATTCCTGTGACGTAGTCGCCATGCTGCGTAACTTCCAGAAGCTCCAGCACCAATAATTGCTACGTCGTCGCACGTGGAGGGAACTGGATCAACTAAAAATCATTCAATATAAAACACTTCAAATTTATAATCTGCAATTATTCATGAGAAGATTGAAAATTAAAGATTGAACGGTCAAACAAGGACTTTTGAAGGGACAACTCAGTGTTTGAGAGAACATGCAGTGACATTGAAATATAAAAACAAAGGTCAAGAAGGAAAGGCAACATTTCGTTTAAATTGAAAATTATGGTAAATTCGCAATTTTCCCCTTTAAATTTAGAAATATTTCTTTCACGTTTAAGTTATTTTGTTAAATACGAAATTTTCGTACACACTTGTGCAGTCATGTACAACATGTTTAATCCTTTTTTGGAACCACGTTTAAAGCCCGTTTATGTACATGTTCCTGTTTACATGATACATTCATTTTACATTTTCACTTAATTCTTTTACATCACATATTACATAACATACAATTACGAACTAAGATATATGTTCTTGTAGACATTTTAAAATAATTTCAAAGAGCTTAAACGTGAATCTCTTTAAGAAAAAGTTAAGAAAAAGGATATTATAATTTAAACAAGATAGAGTTTTGTTGAATCAATCAAAAAAAAATTCTTTAGTCAGTTGGAAAATGCTGAAATATTGGGGGAGGGGTGCTTTAAAAAATAAAAAGATAATTTGCGAGATAAAAAAAACTGTAGTAAACAAAAAACATATTTTTTCCAACAAACTACGATACGATAAAAAAGGGTAATATTAAGAAAGAAAGGCTACTTTGGTAAATTCTTCTGATATATCATTATCAGTACTTATAACATTATAACATTGTAAGAAAATTATTCCACTTACTGTTGAAATCATCAAGAGAATCATTTTGAAATGCTATGTATTTTTCTAAAGATATTCTATCAACCATTTTTCTTATCAACACAAAATTATTTGGTATTTTCTTTTTTGTTTTACGAATAATATATATTATTTTTGGCAAATTAATCCTATGTTAAAATGTTGTCATGAGATTTACATTTACACTTTCAATGTGGAGTGTAACGAGGTTTGTCTTTAAACATTTATACACATGTGCTTCAGTATGATAAATAATAAAAAAAAAAAAAAAAAAAAAAAAAAAAAAAAATGATGTTAAAGTGTCATTATGCTAAAATTTTCACATATTTTCATAGTCAAGTTGAGTTAAACTGACTACATATTTCAAAAGATTGACCGGTTGATTGATTGATTGATTCATAAGAACAGAAAATAAGACATTGGATTTTAAGTTTCTAGTTGATTTTTATAAAAATCAATAATAAAAAAATAACACAAACGTTTCGATAAGGAAAGAATTTCAAAGAAAAATCTTAAATCAACTTACTATATTTCCCAAATTGATAGGCAGGAATTCCTAAGAAATTTAAAACAAATAACACTACTAATATAACACTGTGTTTGTTCACCATTTTGCTATCATGCATAACGTCAAATGAAATTAATTAATTAAGTCTTGTTTTATTTGAGTTATGAAATATAGAACATGTTTAAAAATTTATATTAATTGCTTGAATAAATTATGTATTGTTGTAAATTATGTAGATTTAACGTAATGAAAATGTTATATGAAATCGTTTTTTTCCCTATAAATTTATATGTTAAAACCGACGTTACCAGGACGCTTAACGAAGAGGATGTGAATTAATGTGAACATACATGCTTTTTTGATGTTTTATTTCTAAAATCTAAAACAAAGCCTTTTTCTTTATTTTGTTCTGTGACCATTTTTTAAAATTGTTTCGTTATAATTAAGACTTTAATTTAAAGACATTCACTAATATTTAAGATAAGGACCTAAATGTGAAACATTTTCAAAACTTGCTCTTTCGTCAACTTTAGTCTAACACCTTGTTAAGTGACTGACATAGGTGTATGTAAACTAAAATTGAATTGACATTACTAAAAAAGGATTGTCAGCTTTGACAATGTGCCAGTTTTACGTCCGATTTAAAGGGTCAGGTTAGAATTTAGAACAAATACGTATCATTCCGGTACATATCGTGAGAAAATCGTCCCCTTAGTGCAGTAACAGGTTATGTACTTCTAAATTAAATAGGAGGTAATCATTTATTGCATTAAGGTGACGAAATAGTACTTTAAATAGATAAGGTTTGACCGACTCAGTGCCGTTACAATTTAGCTTGTATCGACCTTGGTTCGTGTCAATTTTTAAATAGACATGATCTGTGCGGTTCTTACTGGCTTATTTTGCCTTTCGTTAACTTTAGTAATTAGTAAATGAACTTGCATACTTTTGATAAATATGTGAAATTCGGTGACTATCATTTCATAAAAATAATCTTGGCAAAAATATCAGTTCTAAACAACATTCAGTGAAACATGGAAATATATTAATTTGATACCTTAATGAAAGTTATATCTATTTTTGTGGGTGTAATATCTTAATAGAAAATACCAACCAATATTTGTGATTGTGTAAACTTTCACACACCTCGACACACACAAACACGCGCGCGCACATGCACACACACGCACATGCGCACACACACTTCTTGAATCTTGAGTGGCAATGGTTGATACAAATAATGAATATTCTCAAAAAAAGAAATTGCGTCCCTTAACACACATTTTAAAAATCTAAGGTAATAGTGTTCAAACAGTATAATGCAAATATTGACGTCTTTTTACATAATAAGTGAATTCATAACGATAAAGTTATCATCTTAACATAAAGGTTACTAAAAATGTAGTGCAATTGTTTAACCAGTCGTTCGTGCATGCTTTTCAGTAGACAGTGAAATTATATTTTGATAATTTCACTGTGAAAAAGAGTATACTTTTCACAGTAGCCTGACTATAACTGAATGCGGATGAAAATAATTTATCTTATTAATAATAAATAAGGGGAAATAACGTCAGAAATAAACGTGTCTAAAATGTACTTGATTACGAAAAGCGCATTTTTTTTTTAAAAAGATCCTGTATGTTGGGATTAAAGTGGTAAACCACAATAAGATAAATTATATATAATTAATTTCCCTCGTAAACACTTGCAGATGTTATATTTTTACTCATTGCTATACCACACGTGTAAATATTGCATCAGGTGAAGACCCAGTGAAATCAATTTCGATCAAACATGAAAAAAAAAGAAAAAGAAAAAAAGAAAAGAAAAAAAACAACAACAAAAAAACAAAACAAAAAAAAAACAACAACAAACAAATAAATACAACAACAAAAAACAACAACAACAAATGTTCTCTATATAACTGCTATGAATTGACCTCAACAAACCTACAATCAACATGGTTCGACTCTCAGAGTATTACAAGGGAATCCGGAACCTTCATAACAATCATATACTTCAGTCAGTTGAAAACTGTTTAGGGATTTTGAATGTTTGAATTGCTTGTCAAATTCACTTTAATACTTGCTTAATTTCTCCTTTTTTCAATATGACATATAAATAACATAAATGTGTAAAATTCTATTTACGAGGGCTAATTGCGTTTTAAAATATATCGTGTTTTTCTTTTCCAATGATATTTTGCAGCAACTGATAAACACAGATGATTTATGTTCGGAAGAGATATCACCGACATTGCGGCCCTTCAAGTAAAAGGTACAATGATTGCAAGCCACACAATAATTATCACATAATCTACCGTAATAAGTGATTCGTATCATTCTCAAGTTATTTAAATTTGTCACAGTAACTTGCTGTTGGTAACCAGTTCAATACTTAATCTAATTTCTTTTCTGAAACTGTAACAGGGCACAAACACAGTGTTTGAGACATTAAAATTAAATCATCTCTAGGGCATAATGTGCATTTAAAATATGTATTCTGGAAATATATTCTTAAAACCATTAGATAAAATATATGAATGGAAAATCACCAAAAGAGAGTGACATTCAATTGATGTACAAAACTAAAAATATATATGTGTACTTCTACCTCTCCTTAGTAATATCGAATCATTTTTTACTGGTCCATTTTTACCCAAAAGTATAACAACCTAATTTAAGTTTTAATGTTAAAGATTGAACCATCCTTTCACATATACTAAAGGGCATGAGAGATGTTGCATTTCTCTTGATCTGTGAAGAACAGAGTCTGCTATACTACATCTTTGTTCCCAATGGATCTCCCCTTTTTATAGAATTTTTATGTATAAATACATCTGTAATTTGAACTGTTTACGAGTATAGACCAGAAAATATTCTCATAGCAAACATCATAACGAAAGTGAATGTACTTGGATTCATAGATGGCGAGAAATATTCGTATCTCTTTTATTTTATTAGAAGCAGGCACACGGGCACACATGGCATTACAAATTGTATCACATTCCAGTGCCGCTTTTGGCGTCTCCGTAAAAACGGTATTGCACGGCCGTGCATATATTTTGACGTGTCACTCACGTGAAATACAAATGTGATTCTGTCATTTTTACTTCTGTAATAGGAAAAGCAATACAAGTTGATATGTTTACATGGAATACAAATGCACCTGGGTTATTTGCAAAATTGCTGATTCATTTTGAAAAGTATATTGACTGACTTTACTGGAATAAATGCAATCAAATGAGTCACCAGGACCTGCTGTTTCTTATTAAGATATCTTAAGGCATGTAGTTAAATGAACTGCATGCTTAACGAAATACACAGGGTCAGACAGTGGCCATCATCAACTGAGCTATCATATCTTGATTTGTTTCTATTTCCTTCCGCTATATTTCACGCTTCGAACTGATGATATAGCAGATAAATATATCAAATGATAATTTGTTATAACAGCATTATTTCCTATCTGTATAAAGGGAATAACGGTCTTCCGTTAAGGATTTTGTTGGCATTTTACTGACATTTTACAGTGAAAGGATTGTGTGCATATACACTCGCAATTTTCTTATTTCAAACAAAGTCGTGGCTTTTATGCACTTTCGCATGATTTCATTCAATAAAAAACCTCTTTCTTGAAATAGACGAGATATTTATTTTTCTAATTGAATTTATTTGAAGTATCTTTGTGTTTAATGCCTGAATTAGGATTTCTGTCTTGACAATACATTGATACAAACCAAACTTACTTTTTATAATCCGGTTAGAAACTTGAGAAAACGTACAAAGTTTTTTCACTAATTGAAAACTTTTGTAAAATAACGGACACTTTTTTATTTGTTTTGATCGTTTGCTTTAACATTTGTAACTATGTATGTTCTATAATTCAATCAAATTTGTACAATTCGACACGAATAAGTCACAAGGAAACAATTATATGTTTTAAATAGATTATGCTTTTAGTTCAGTGGCAGGCCATTTGTTAATTTGCAGCTTGTTTGGGATGTACTTTCAGACATTGGTGAAATGTAGAAAATACTAATACATAATACGAAAACTAGCTTTATTGTATAAAATAATAATACCAAGTATTTGAGAATCTAAAAAATAAAGAAGAAAAAAACAGTTGTTTCTGTATTTATTTAACTAACAAAATATCATAAAGGACTTTGAAAACGCACATCTGTATTTTTTAGGGTTTTAATATACGTTGTTTTACACAAAAACGAATCAGGACGGATCCCATGAAAGTATATCACATATACTTTAATTTATAAAATATAAACGTGACTATTGTAAATATTAGAAATGTTAACATGTGAATAGCCACAAGGCCGTCAAAGAACATCAGGTGTAGATCTATAATTTAGTTTTTATTAAGGATAGTTGAAAAGAAATGAATCTATAGTATAACAGTGAAAACATACTAGTAAAGCAAACCTCTGATATTACTAGTATTACATTGAGAAATCTAATCCGGTCTTTTTCTTTACCTGAACTATGGTATTTTTTATTAACTATAATAATTTTCTGCGCCCTGTCATTGACCGCATGTAGTCACAGGCACAAGTCAAAGCAGTTGTTTTTAGATAATATGATAATTAGAGCGTCTAGTTAAAGTGAATTTGTCTAAAATAGAATGAGTATTACTTTTTTAGTATTTCGTATTAGACAAACCACGAAATAATTATACATTGTACATGTAAGATGTTGACATGCGTGTGCATACATGATCCGATTTTACATATATAATAAAATATTCTTGAACAAAATATTATAATTCATCATATGAATTTACACTATAGATCTATAATTTTCACTATGTTATGAGCAGTTTTTTTATCAGCGGGGAACGACATGAGATTTGCTCATATGACCTTGGCTTCCGGGAACGATTCTTGACGTTTCCTGAAGGTAGCTAAAACGGTTAGCAATGTGTTATGTTCGATGTTGAGATCTTGTCACAATGTTGTCACTATGCAATTCTTGGCAGGTAGTTGACCAATAGTAAGACAGCGCCAAGGAAGACGATGAACATCAGAATGGTTTGTTAAGTGTAGATAATAACCTTTTCTGTACCAGTCCTATAGCTATCTTGGTAGATTCATTATCTTTAAGACATGTATTCTTATCAAGAATAAAAAAAAATTAAAAACACTCATTCTTAATCTAC